CTCAATCCCAGGACCCTGAGATCATGATCTGAGCTGAAGGCTGATGCTTAACCGACTGAGCCCCCCAGGCGTCCCCTCTTTTTGTTGAAGTTCTTATTGTGTTCATCCTTTCTTCTCCTGAGATCAGTGAGCATCTTTATGACCATTACTTTGAATTCTTTATTGGGTAGGCTGCTAATCTCTATTTCATTAAGGTCTTTTCCTGAGGGTTTGCCTTCTTCTTTGGTTTGGAAAATATTCCTCTGTGTCCTCATTTTGCTTGTCTCTCTGTGTTTGTCTACATGTATTAGGTAAAACAGCTACCTCCCTCAGTCTTGAAGGAACAGTCTCATGTAGGAAATGTTCCATGTGGCCCAAAAGTCTCCCTGGGCCCCCAGAGTCAGGCATTCTATGGTGTCCCTTGTGTGGGCTGCATGTGCATGCTGGCTGTGATAGGACCACAGCTGCTGTGTGGGGAGGGCAGGGCTCAGGGCACTTGCCCAGCTCTGTCGTGGCTGGGCTGCTGCATGGGGAGAGTGGGATTCAAGCTGCTTGCCCTTCCACTGTGGCTTGGTCTCTGCATGGGGAGGGCGGGGCTCAGGGCACTCACCCTATCCATTTGTAGCTTAGCCACTATGTGGGAAGGTACAGGTCAGGTCACTGACTGGGCCTGCTGGCATCTTGGCCACTGAGCAAGGAGAATGGGGCTTGGGATGGTCACCTGTCCTCCCTGTGGCTTGGTCTCTGTGAGGGTTGCATGGTGCGTGGGGTGCTAGCCCAGCCCCGCCATGCCATGGGATGGGCAGAGCATGCCCTCTGGTGCTAGTAGGCACCAAAAATGGTGCCTGTTGGCTTCATCACCAGCAAATTAGGATGAGATTGCAAAAATGCTGTTGGCCAGCACATCCATCCCCAGATAAAGTCCTTGTAAGTTCCTGTCTCTGTGGCAGCTGCTTTAGAATTAGCGTGTGCTGGGCGCTGGGGGGCTCAGTCAGTTAAGCGTCTGCCTTCGGCTCAGGTCAGGATCCCTGGGTCCTGGGATCGAGCCCTGCATCGGACTCCGTGCTCTGCAGGGGGTCTGCTTCTCCCTCTGCCTACCGCTCCCCCTGCTTGTGCTCTCTTTCTCTCTGACAAATAAATATATAAAATCTTAAAAAAAAATAACAACTAGATATGATTGATAACTTTATACCAGGAAATACCAGAGTTTTAGAAATTTCATAGAATTTCTGGGACACTTAAATTTATATAAATATAACATATATTTGGGATGCCTGGGTGGCTCAGTCGGTTGGGCATTTGCCTGCAGCTCAGGTCATGATCCAAGGTCCTGGGATCGAGTCCCACATTGGGCTCCCTGCTCTGCCGGGAGCCTGCTTCTCCCTCTGCCTGCTGCTTCCCCTGCTTGTGCTCTCTTTTTCTCTGACAAATAAATAAATAAAATCTTTAAAAAATAAAGGAAAAAAAATTAGTGTGTCTCTCTCCCTTATGGTCTAGGCACTTTTCAATCTGTTGCTTCTGCACTAGATATCAGGGTGAGTGGGTGTTGCGCGAGAGCCCTTTAAGAATGGGAGCTCTAGGGGCGCCTGCCTTTGGCTCAGGTCATGATCCCAGGGTCCTGGGATCGAGCCCCACATCGGGCTCCCTGCTCTCTGGGAAGCCTGCTTCTCCCTCTCCCACTCCCCCTGCTTGTGTTCCCTCTCTCAGTGTATCTCTCTCTGTCAAATAAATAAAATCTTAAAAAAAAAAAAAAAGAATGGGAGCTCTATGTTCCCTACATTCTGTGATTCTCCTGGTCTTAATCCCCACTGATTTTCAAAACCAAACATTTTGGGGGTTTTCTGGTGCGGGCCCCCAGGTTCGGAGGTTGCTGATGTGGGACACAGTCCTTTTACTCTTTGAGTAGAGTTCCATGTTTTTGTGATCTCTTCCGATTGTGGGGGGTCACCACTCCTGATGTGGGGTCCCACATGAGGTTCTGTCACTGCCTCTCCTGCCCTTCTCATTGTGTCTCTTTGTCTTTTGTTGTGGAGGTGCTGCTGTTCATCTAGTTCTCAGGTCCTTTTTAGAGGAAAATTATTCTATATAGAGCTGTAAGTTTGTTGTGTCCGTGGAAGGAGGCGATTTCCTGGTCTTCCCACAGGGCCGTCTCGAACTCCCATTGTGGTTTTAATTTGCAGTTTCTTCATGACTAATGATGTTAAATATCTTTCCATGTGCTTATTTCTCATTTGTATATCTTCTTTGGCTTAATATCTTTCTTTTGCCTTTTTTTTTTTAGTTTTTAGAGTTCACTATATATTCTCAATACAATTTTTTTTTTTTTTTTGCCAGAATGTGATTTGTAAATATTTTCTTTCATTCTGTGGCTTTTTCTTCTTTTAAGACTGTCTTTTGAATTTTGCTGTCCCATCTAAGAAATACTTGACTAACCTAAGGTTAAAAAGATTTTCTCCTGTGTGTGTGTGTGTGTGTGTGTGTGTGTGTGTGTGTGTAAGTAGGCTCCGCACCCAGCGTGGAGCCCAGCATGGGGCTTGAACTCACAACCCCGAGATCAAACCTGAGCTGAGATCAAGAGTTGGATGCTTAACTGACTGAGCCACCCAGGTGCCCCTCCTATATTTTCTTCTAGAAATTTTATAGGTTTAGATTTTACATTTAGGTCTGCGATCTGTGTTGAGGTTTGAGTTTTATACATGTGGGAGGTATTTGCTGGAGTTCTTTGTTTTTGCATATGTAGATCCAATTGTTCCAGCATCGTTTGTTGAAATGGGAACTCCCATTTTCCCTTGAACTGCTTTTGCACTTTTGGTCAAAGTAATTTTTAAGTATAAAGGTCAAGATTAGAACAGGACAAGGACCTCAGAATCCCCACTCTTGCCCTCTCCCAATCAGTACCACCCACAAAGGTAATCGCTCTCCTGACTTTTAACATCATAGGTTGGCCTTGCCTGTGCTCTTATTATATATAAATCAAATCATGCAGGATATACTCCGGTGTCTGCATTCTTGTGCTCATCGGTACATCTGTGAGATTCACCTGTGTTGGATATGTGGTTTGTAGTTCATTTATTTTCATCACCAGGCAGGATCCCATTGAATGTGCCACAGTTTACCCATTGTGTTGTTGAGGGACATCTGCATTTTTTCCACATTTTAGTTTTAGAAGTAGTGCTTCTGTGAACATCCTGTACTTGTTTTCTAGAGCATATATGCATGATTTTCTTTAAGCTGTGTACCTAGAAGTAGAATTGCTGCGTCATAATGTATGCAAATCATTAACTTTAGTAAACACTGTCAATTTCCCCAAGCAACTCTGCCAGTATATATTCCTACTAAGTGTGAGAGTTCTCATTTCACCACAATCTTATGATATTTTAGTCTGCTTAATTAATAACCTTTTTAGTGGGGGCGTAGGAGTGTCTCAGCATGGCTTAAATTTTCATTTACCTGAGTGCTGATTGGGTTGAGTACATTTTCTTATGCTCATAGGCCATTTGGGTTTTGTTTTTAGTGAAGTACATATTCACATCTCTTCTCTGTTTTTTGGTGGTGTTTTTGTGTTTCTTATTGATTTGCCGGGTTTTTTTAAAATGTTTTATTTGTTTATTCATGAGAGTCAGAGAGAGAGAGAGAGAGAGAGGCAGAGGCAGAGGGAGAAGCAGGCTCCCTGCCTAGCAGGGAGCCCGATGCGGGACTCGATCCCAGGACCCTAGGATCATGACCTGAGCCGAAGGCAGATGCTTAACCATCTGAGCCACCCAGGCGCCCCGATTTGCAGGGGTTTTATATGTTCCAGATAAGATCCCTTTATCATTTTTGATTGTTGCAGATAATCTCCCCATTTAAAGCTTGCCTTTTTACTGTTCTACTTTTATTTTTTTGTTTTTATTTAAATTCCAGTTAGTTAAGATACAGTGTATTATTAGTTTCAGGCGCACAATAGAGTGACTCAGCACTTGGCATACAACACCCGCTGCCCATCACAAGTGCCCTCCTTAATCCCTGTCACCTGTTGCACTCATCCCCCCACCCCCTCCTCTCTGGTAACCAGCAGTTTGGTCTCTATCATCAAGAGTCTGTTTCTTGGCTTGCCTCTCTCTCTCTTGTTTTCCCCTTTCCTCATTCATTTTGTTTTTTAAATTCCACTTATGAGTGAAATTATGTTATTTACTTTTCTTTGACAGACTTATTCCGCTTAGCATAATACTTTCTAGCTCCATCCACGTTGCAAATGGCAAGATTTCATTCTTTTTTATGGCTGAGTACTAGTCCATTGTAGATATAGACCGCATCTTCATTATCCATTCATCAGTCGATGGACGTTTGGGCTCTTTCCATAATTTGGCTATTGTTGATAATGCTGCAGTAAACATCGGGGTGCATGTATCCCTTCAAATCAGTATCTTTGAATCCTTTGGGTAAATAGCTAGTAGTGCAGTTGCTGGATTATGGGGTAGCTTTATTTTACACTTTTTGAGGAACCTCCATACTGTTTCCCAGAGTGGCTGCACCAGTTTGCATTCCCACCGCCCTTTCTCCACATCCTTGCCAACACCTGTTGTTTCTTGTGTTGTTAATTTTAGCCATTCTGACAGGTGTGAGGTGGTCTCTCTCTCATTGTGGTTTTGATTTGTATTTCCCTGACTGTTGTACTTTTAATCTTGTAACATTTATAAATCTTTTCCTTCATGAGTAGCGCTTTTCACATCTTGTTTTAGAATTCTTTCCCTACACCAAGACTATGAAAACATTTTCCTGTACTGTTTTCTAGGCACCTTATTGTGTTATCTTTCACATTAGATTTACAATTTCTCTGTAGCTCATTTTTGCGTATGGTGAGTTAGTGGCTAAATTCTGCCCCCTGTGGATATCCAGTAGTCCACCCACATTTATTTGAAAAGATCATCCTCTCCCCACTGCCTTGCAGTGTCAACTTTATCATAACTCAGGTGCCCATATGGCATTTGGATTCTCTTTTTAGTCCTACTGGACTATTTGTCTATCCTTGTGCAAATACCACATTGTCTTACATATATTCTATACACTTATGGAATATTCCGTGTAGTTGATGGAATAGTTTTTCTGCCATGGCTTGTGATTTTCCAACAAGGTAGGCATCCTGTATTAAGTCATCATCACGAACTGGGAACCCAATCAGCAGTTCCCTACATTTCATCCTCATCACCCAGTGGTCAGTATTTTAGAGTAAAAGGAATGTGCAATTACAGGGACTCGTGACATTCGAGGATGTGGTTGTGGATTTCACCCCAGAGGAGTGGCAGTACCTGAACCCTCTACAGAAGACCCTGTACAGAGAAGTGATGCTGGAGACCTACAGCAGCCTGGTCTCTGTGGGTAAGAATGGCTTCCTCAGGTAATTTTGCTGCTTATGATTGTTGTGCCTGATAGAGGGCCTTTCCTTTCTCAGTTTGGAAAACTTGTAAGGTCTCTGAACTGCTTGAAAAGCTGGACGTTGAGTTCCAGGGATCGAAGTTTCCTAACAGGGTGTTTGTGAACTCAAAACCCAGGTGAAATGGTTCGACTTGACCATTGGACCACTGTGTCAAGTGATCGGTCTCTCATGCTGCCCCAGACCCCACTGCCCTCTTTCTCAGATGCTCTGAAGATCCAGGAGGTATCACTGTCATCTCTCATCAGCAGGGCCACAGGTGACCAAACCAGACCTCATCCTCAAATTGGAGGTAGAAGAGCCATGCCTAGCAGAAACAAAAATCTCCTTTTGGAGCTTTCCAGGTGAGTGGCATTGACTCAGACGACAGGGACAGGAGGTGCCAGCTTGTCAGCCATGGGTGAGGACCTCTGAAAGGGCTTTCAGGAATGTCTGGGGAAAGCTTGTGACCCTTTGATCTTGTTGGACAGGCACATGAATACCTCAGACATAAGAGTGACACCCCTCGCCCCTGTCCCACACCCACCAGACCACTCCCCTTAAGTTGGTGCTCACCCAGAAGTTTCTGCATAGCTCCTTTTCCCGGTGGGTAAGCGTCTTGTAAGTGCCAGTCCCCGCTCACGCCCTGCCACTTCTCCCATTCTCACTTCTCACCGCTTTATCTGAAGCCAGGCCCACCTGAGTCACAGGCGTAGGCACTACTGCTCTAAGTCCATGTTGGATTACCTGTTTCCATTCAGTTGAGATATTTCGATCAGATTTGCTCTCCTAAAACATCTTATCTTTGTTTAAAAATAGCTTTATTGAGATAGAATTCAGACCCTAAACTTTGCTCTTTTTGAAGTATACAAATTCAGTGATTTTTAGTATGTTCACCAAGTTATGAAACCATCACCATTATCTAATTCTAGAACATTATTACCCCAGAAAGAAACCCATACCCCTTACCAGTCAGTCTCTATTTCCTCCTTCCCCCATCCCCTGGCAGCCACTTTCTGCCTCTATGGTTTTGCCTATTCTGGAGATTTCATGTAAATGGAACCATACAAAATGTGGCCTTTCATGTCTGGTTTCTTGCACTTGGCATGATTTCAAGGTTCATTCATGGTGTGGCATGTATCAGGACTTCATTCCTTTTTCTGGTGGAATGATACTCTGCTGTCTGGATACACCACTTTTGGTTAGCCATTTATCTGCTGATGGGTATTTAGGTCGATCTCACTTTTTGGCCATTATAAAGCTGCTATGAACATTCATGTAGAATGTTTTGTGGAGGTGAAGGTTTTAATTCCTTTTGAGTATGGACATAGGAGTGGGATTGTTGGACCACATGTTTAACATTTTGTGGAACTGCCAAATGATGAATATCCCATTTTCAAAAATTTTTACCCAGCGTTTTAACATTCACAGAGGATTCTTTGCCTGAATCAATTTATAAGATGGTTGGAAAAAGGGGGAATTTTCTCCCATTCCGTCTCCATTTAGAAGTTGGCACTCTTCTTTTGCCCCATCCCATTAATGAATTAATTTTAGTATCAGTATGGACTCAGATTATTTTTCAGTGTGTTATAATGCATTAATGTCTTCTGTCATTATTCATTTTGATGTTCAAATTGTCCTCAATTTGTCCGGGAGGAGTCACTTCGGGCTGGCTTCTCCATCTCTTAACATGACCCCATCATTCTTTGAGCACTTTCTAGCACAAAAATATATTCCAGGTTCACACTGTACTTTCCCTGTTTCAGACCTAGAATCAGCAGCTTCTCCAAGGATTTTTTCCTTTTAATGGGGAATGGTACTGAGAAATCAGGATCTGGGTGCTGAATGTTCTCGTAGCTACTTGGATTCTTCTCATAACCTACAAATGATTCCCAGCTATCTTTTTCCCCCCCTTTTATTTTTTTTAAGTAACTGGTTAATTTGTCTTTTAGTTTCCCACATTCTGAACTTTGCTAAGTACCCTATGGTATTTAACATATTCCTCTGTCCCTTATTTTTTTCTTGTAAATTGGTGGTTAGATTTTGAAGTTTGATCAGATCCAGGGTTTTATTTTTTTCTTTTAGCAAGTTTACTTCCTAGCTGCTATGACATCAGAAGGCATGCAGTGCCTGGTTGTCTATTGTAGTTATGAGTTCTCGGTGATTATTGCTTGTATGTATTCATTAATGTTTGCAAAATGGTGTATTCTATCGTGCCTTGTTGATTAGCTGGAATACTTCTATAAAGAGGATTGCCTCTCATCTGTTATTTGCTTATATGTTAGTTCCAGGAATTCCATTTCAGTTATGTGTGTTTTCCCATTTGTTTACCACTTTTAAAAATAATGAGTTGGTTTTGTAGCATCATTCAAAAGGTGACTAATATTTTTTTAATATTTTAATCAAACATTGCCTTATCCTCATTATGAATCAAACTGCCCTATCTCTGGTGAGCAGAAACCCCTTCAGATTGGCTCCTGAGTCTTTGGTAGCGTCTTTGCTTTCTGGTGTTACAAGATGTTCCAGGCTTTTTATATAGTTCCCATTTCTGGCTTGGAATCAGCCATTTCTCCAAGGAACCCTGTTTTTTTGTTTTTTGTTTTTTTTTTTGTGGTAATAGTGTTTTGAGACCACAATTTGGATGTTAGGGAATTGTTTCTAGGCCTTTTAAAAATTGACAGAGCTAGAAACCACGTAAAAACAATTTTTTAAAAGATTTTATTTGAGAGAGCGCGCAAGTGTGCGTGCACGAACGGGGCGGGGGGGGCGGTGCGCAGAGGGACAAATAGACTCCCTGCTGAGCGGGGAAGCCTAATGCAGGGCTTGATGCATGACCTGAGCCAAAGGCAGACGCTCAACTGACTGAGCCACCCAGGCGCCCTGTAAAAAAGATTTTTTTTTTTCCCAAGATTTTATTTGACAGCGAGAGAGGGAACACAAGCAGCGGGAGTGGGAGAGGGAGAAGCAGGCTTCCCGCCGAGCAGGGAGCCCGATGCGGGGCTCGAT